ATCCACTCTGTGCTTTTTCTTCAAGGGGTTTTTGTTTTTGGGTAACTTTTAGCACCGGTTTTCAATTTGCTTTCATACCCAAAACTGTTATGTGACAAACCAAATCACGAGGAGTAGAAGGTTAAAGGGCGTAAAACATAATCGATATATAATGTCATCTCTACACACCAGCACACCTGGAGTCTGTTCATGTGCTACAGCAGGTCTGCAGCAGGTTATTTAATAGTCATTAGTTACTCTGATATTAGGTTAAGAAGCCGGTCACATGTGAAATTAAACGTTATAGTTACATTATCGGCCTTACTCTCTGGTCTTATGTGAGAATGTAATTATGAACTGTGTAACACTTGGGTGCAATATTATGTGAAGAGTTCACGTGCTAATTGCAGCTTATTTCCTTGGAGGCAGTGGGATAGCCTGACTGGGAACGCTTATTCGGTTATCTCTAAAAAACATTTAAATTCCTTCCAATATAATCATCTGTGTTATTTCATATAAACACAAGTGCCTCGCTAATTTACATTTCAACAGCTGATTTAAAATTAGCAGTAAAATTACGTATCTGTTGCTTTTTTATTACCATCTGCGGATCAGTGACGACATGAGAGCTCCCATAATTCTTAATGAGCATACAGTGATAAAATTTGTAATGCTATAATTAAAAAACAGGCTATTAGTGTATTGAGTGTGGATATCTTAAAATAGTACTTAATGATTATTTATCGCTCGAATCTGCTCCTTTCTGCAGATGCTCTGTTGGTGAGATAACCGAAGCCATGAAGAAGGTGTTTGGTGAACACAAGGCCAGCACCAGGATGGTGAGCGGGGCTTACCGCACTGAGTTCGGAGAGCATGAAGAGATCACTCTGGCCAACAACAGGTAGAAAATAATAACAATTTATTTCATGACCTTTATAATTTACATGCTAGACTCTCGATTTGCTCATTCAAGTAAAATTCTTCTTCCCCCCCCATTAAAAAAAACAAAGAGTTGTAGAGTTCAAGAGGCATGAGGGGAGGAATCCTCGATTGCTGGTGGCAAAGATGGGGCAGGACGGTCACGACAGAGGTGCCAAAGTTATCGCCACGGGGTTCGCAGACCTGGGCTTCGATGTAGACATCGGACCACTGTTTCAGGTGAATGTTGTACCAAGGATTTTACTGCCTGTAATGACCTCAATCTGATAATATATATATCAGAATTGTTTCATTTTGTTCATTTGTTTCAAAATTCAAATTCAAATTTTATTTGTCTCATACACAGTCATACACAGTACGATATGCAGTGAAATGCTTACACAACTGCTCGTGACCTAAAGAAAAAAAAGGCTATGAATAAGATA